TGGAGCAGCTCTGCTGTGAGGAAAGGTTGAGGGAACTGAGCTTGTTTAGCTTGGAGAAGAGAAGGCTGTGGGGAGACCTCATTGTGGCCTTCCAGTGCTTGAAGGGAGCGTATGAACAGGAGGGGGAATGGCTGTTCGTGAGGGTGGACAATGATGGGACAAGGGGAATGGTTTTAAAGTGAGACAGGGGAGGTTTAGGTTGGATATTAGGAGGAAGTTTTTCCTCCAGAGGGTGGTGAGGCACTGGAACAGGTTGCCCAAGGAGGCTGTGGATGCCCCATCCCTGCAGGCATTCAAGGCCAGGCTGGATGTGGCTCTGGGCAGCCTGGGCTGCTGGTTGGCGACCTGCACACAGCAGGGGGTTGGAACTGGATGAGTACTGTGGGCCTTTGCAACCCAAACCATGCTGGGATTTTAATAATTGAAGCTATTCTTTGGAAATAGTGTAAATTATGGTTTGAGAGCTGAATTCTTTTGTCATTTGCTTTTTTTTTTTTTTTTTTTTTTTCTTTTAAGGCATCATTGTTTTACTTGAATGATTAGTAGAATAATGTTAGCGTGAGTCTCAAAGATCTGGAAGAGAATTCTGTCTGCACATATTGTTCCTTGAGCTCTAATGTAATGATTACATTCAAGATTGTTCCAGGGGCAGTATTTCAGTATTTTTATATGACTTTCCTGACCATTTCTACTGACATCTCTGGGTCATGTATGAATCAAGTACTTGAGCAGTAACCAGAGTTAACAATTCTGTACTATAATATTTCAGTTAAATTGCAGGTTATTAAATAAAGCAAGCCAATTTCTGCTCTCACTTAATGTACATTTCCAGTAATTCAGGATCTGATGTCAAAAAAATAATGTTTTAGATAGTGCAAAGAAGTGAAGTAATCAGATTATCTTTCAGGAAATGTTTACTGTTCATTCCAAGCTATATCAGCATGCTACAGAGCTGGCAGAAAGATTCATTGTCTGCGAGGTAGCCATTTGGGTCAGATGGATGTGCTGTCTTTTCCTAATGCAGTCTTGATTCCTGGCTGTGATGGTCCGGAGGAATTCTCCCTTCTCATTGGCTGTATGACTCTCCTTCAGTTCTGTGCTGTCTGTTCTCAAGAATTGTAGTCCACCCTCTCTGAACTCATCATTTTTTAGTTCATCATTTAGTTCTTTCTGAGATTGATTTTATTATAGATATGACATCATGGCTAGCAGAGTTTTAGAAACCCAAAAGCTGACTTTGCTGTGTTCTGAAAGTTAGTCTTTTGCCTCTCTTTACATCATTTGGAAAGCAGATTACATCCATGTCACCGCTGCTAAAAGTCTACAGTTGATTTTTAGAGCATAGCTGTCCTGTAGGTTGTGTTCCAGACCAGCACTAGGCTAGTGCTGTTTTGGAGCCTCTCATTAGCAGTTGGGTGTTCAGTGGCTGCTGTACTAATGCTGTACTGGACTGAGGGGATGAGAAAATTATATACAATTCACACAATTCATGCATGCTTTCTCTGACATCTGAAATTTAGGATATCTACATTGTAATTGTAATTGCAAGCAATATGGCAGTGAAACTATCCTTGTATAATTTATGTGTATCTCTAGAGCTTTAAAGCTGATTCCTAAACACTGGTAGAACTTACAGCATATGAGTATCTCCTTTGTCTTGGTGTACTATAGACTCATTCATACAAAACGGTTGTGTTCGGAGCAGGTCCAAAACCATCTCCTCATGGATCATGCAAGGTCTGTTCTGTTCCCCATCCCTATCTACCAGCGCCGGGGACTGTGTTTCCAGGGAGTAACAATTAAAGACTGAGGCAAAGAAGGCATTAAGTATCCCAGCCTTATCCTGATCCTTGGTCACCAAGTTGCCCTCGGCGTCCAGCAAGGCATGGAGATTCTCCCTAGTCCTCCTCTTGCTGTTGATGTATTTATAGGAATATTTTTTGTTGTTGTAGTGGCTAGGTTCAGTTCTAGCTGGGCTTTGGCATTTCTTATTTTCTTCCTGCACAGCTTCACTATGTACCTGTAATCATTATAAATAGCTTGCCTACTCTTCCAGAGACCATAAACTTTCTTTTGTTCTTGAATCCCAGTCAAATCTCTGTTCAGCCAGTCCAGCCTCCTTGCCCATTGGCTCACCTTCTGTGAGCTGGGGATGTTCAGCTCCTGCACCTTTAAAATAACTTCCTTAAAGTATTCCCAGCCTTCCTGCGCTCCTACGCTCTCCAAAACTACCTCCCAAAGGACCCTCTCAACCATGGTCCTAAGGAGGTCCTAAAGATTGTCCTTCAGAAGTCCAAGCTGGCAGTTCTGCTGACTCCTTTCCATGGTTCAATAAGGATCAAGAAATCTAGCATCTCATGATCACTATGATCCAGATGGCCTCCAATCTATACATCCCCCACAAGACCTTCTCTGTTAACAAAAAACAGGTCCAGAATTTTGCTTCCTCCCATTGTCTCCCTCACCAGCTGTGTCAGGAAGTTATCTCCCACTCACTCTAGGAACCTCCAGGATTGTTCCCTATCTGCTGCATTATGAATCCAGCAGATGTTGAAGCCCCCACAAGAACAAGGGGGAGTGACCTTGAGATCTCACCCAACTGTCTATGAAGTATCTTGTCCACTTCTTCATCCTGGTTGTAGCAGATCCCCATGAAATATCAGTCTTATTGGCCTTCATTTTTATTCAGATTCATAAGCTCTCAACCCTATCATCACCATCATAAATTCCCATACATTCACATTCTTTCTTAACATAGAGGGCTACACCACCGCCTTTCCTGCCTAGCCTGTCTCTTCTGAAAAGTTGGTAGCCATCCAGCAGAGCACTCCAGCTGTGCAAGTCATTCCACCACGTTTCCATGATGGCAACCATATCATAGTTTTCTGACTGCAAAGTGGCCTTCAGCTCCTCCTGTTTATTACCCATGCTGTGTGCACTAGGGCACCTGAGCTGGACCTCCTTTTGAGTGGCAGTAGTCCTAATACCCTCATGACCATACTCAGGTGTTTCCACAGCCACCAACCTTACACAAATCCTGGTGTAAGGTAAGACCCTACAAAAGGGTAAGTCGTCCTCCTCCTTCACCAAGGCACAAGACTGTGGGATCTTACTAGCACACCCCCTTCCCACAAGCACTGGGAAATCACAGACAGGCTCCATTCTAATGCCCCCAGTTACACCCGCACCCCCTTCATACCTACTTTAAAGCTCTATCAGTGAACCTTCCCAACTCCCGTCTTAAGACCCCTTTCCACTGGTGGGAGAAGCTTGTCTCATGCAAACAGAGCAGAGGTCAAAAAACCCAAACCCCTGCCATCAGGCTCGGAGCCAGGTATTAATCCATTGGTCCGTGATATTTAGTAACTTGTTGATCCCTATAACTGGAGGAATAGAGGAGCGCTCAATTTGTGCTCCCGAATTCTTGTATAGCTTTAACCAGGGGTTAAATGGTGAGCAGTCAAGAGCAATGGAAAGGCAAAGCCTTTATCTTCACTGCTGTTGATGAGTTTCTGATAAGAAAGTAACACACACAGAGGATCAGTGAAAGGCTGGTAGAGTCCATGAGCTGATCCATTCATCTAAGTTTATTCTGTATCGCGATAAGATGATCTCAGAAAGCCTTATTAGGTGTCTCTGTACATCTGCAGTGACAAGCATGTATTTTCATCTGACGAAGAATGAGGAATGTTCAGCAAATTGCCTGGTCAGTGGATAAAGGTATCTTTACAAAGATACCTTTCTGTGTCTTCAGAAAAAGGCAGGCTTTCTGTGTTGTCCAAGTGATTCGGTAAAGTGGGTTGATACAATTTAAACCAGTCTTGACTTGAAATTAATCCTTTATCTGTGTTCTTCCTGGGGACCTTTGTTCAGCTGTCAGAGCCTGCTTGGAAGATCAGAACCTGGCCATCATTTTGCACATGCCATTCCATCGTGGAAGTTTATGCTTCTGGATTAGTTTATGTTCTTATGACTTACACAAAGAAAACTTAGTCCATTTCCTTTAAAAAGCTCTCTGAACATAAAAATATAAACTTACTGAAATAGGTTTTCCTTAATGTTTGTCCTTTTAGAAGTACTGTCTGACCATTAGTGAAAAAATGTTGTTTTTTTCCTCAATTCTTTGTTTAAACTATTTGTTTGTCTTTTTTTTTCCCAAGCAGTGAAATTTATTCATTTTACTGAAAAGGTGGCCCTGGTTCAGTCCTTTCTCTTATTAAACAACAGTATACCCAGTATGCTTTGCCAGCAGTGTTCATAAAATTGATGGTTTGTCCTAAGTGAAATCAGGATTAGACAAGTATATTTGGAGATCAAGGTGTCTCTTCACCAAAGAAAGAAAAAGGATTTAGGTAATTTTTCCAATTTGAACTGCCGCCCTTGGCTTCAGCATAACTTGGTTTTACTGAAGCACCAACTAGTGAACAGCTGGTGTATTGAAGTATGTAGGTATGACCTAAGTGATGGATGTGGCAGGACCTTTTTTCTGGCATTTGTCCGAAGGAGCTGACTGATAACTGCTCAGTTGGTAAAGGTGCAGCTGGGCATCTGGCGGGCTCCTCGCAGGCACTGTCTGAGAGCTGGGTGTGGGAACTAATGGGTAGTGCAAGCATCTCTCATCTGTTTGGTGACAAACGAGTGCCAAACTACGAGAGCTGTTCCGAAAGTAATGCTTCCTATTTTTTTTATTTTTTTTAATGTTTGCCCACAACATCAGAAGCGGATGTTGGTGGGATGGCAGTAAAGATTGAACCATCCCACTTATATTAGAAATGGAAGTAATCTCTGTGGCTTGTAGAATTGATGTTCATTTATGGTTTGAATAATCTGATGATACCACAGAGAAACTAATTTTGTACTCCCTTGGTGTATTTAAATGCGTAAGTATTCATTACAATTTTCTATTGCCATCTCCAGAATATTTACTTTTGGAAGTTTTCATTCATGTGATTTTTACTTCTGATGGTTCCAATCAGTGATATTTTCTGCTTTTTTTTCAGTTATACCAGCAGAGTTGTTTCCAGTGGACTGAAGGCTCAAATTAATAATCCAGAACTGAAAGTCAGAGGACTAGACCCACTCATCAGCAATTTGATTGATAAGCTTCAGAACTTTAATCATGTAAGTAACTTTAGAGGTGAAAGCATTTTACCACCAGATCTGATGGCAGAGCTGAAGCCAGATGAATGGTACCTAAATTTCCCAGAGCCCTAAGAGAGCCCTGAAGAGGCCTGGTAACAAAGGCAGCCAGAGATTGTCCTGTGTCAGCTGGATTATAGATTTATAGATAATGAAACAAAATTATTTCCCTGGAAGTTGCTGTAATTCCTGGCTGTTGTCCCATAGCATTCAGTTCACTGTCCTGTCTGGAGTTCCATTGAGCATCTCCTGAGTCCCTCAGTTCACAAGAGTCAAGTTCTGTTTCTTAGCCCTGTGGAATTGTTCTGGAGGTGTTTCTCCTTGGTTGAGCAGCTTTGTGACGTAGATGTAAACAGATGAGAAGACAAAACAGATCTGTTAACTGTGCAATAACTGAACTGCATAGAACTTAAATCAGGACAAAAGGCACTCCCAAATGTATCAGCTATGCCCCTTTGAAAACATCATGATACACCAAAAGAATCACTGAGTTTGTCAGATGCATGATTAACCTCTGTCTGCCTCTGTCGTCTGCTAGTCCCCATGGATCTGCAGGCTTTTGAAGCTAAAGGCAGAGCTATGAGATGTTACAGCTTCAACACAGCGCTGTGAGCTCTTCCAGCAGTGCCACTCCAAATGAGCTGGAGCTAACAGATTTAGCAGAGATTGATTTTCATTTAAAGTAGGCGTGTTTTCTTGTCAGCTTGGAAGAATGCTTTCAACAGTGCGTTCACAGTCAGATGTGTCTGCACATGAGTCTACTCATAATCCTTCACCGTTACGGAGTGATGGAGCGCTTTTTCTAAAAAAAGAGCTGGAAGATTAAAGGCAACCTTTGTGGGTGGGATGATCAGGAAGAAAAATAGTCTGCTCAATTAAAATGGGAGGAGGCATGGCTTAGTCAGAATGTTGGGATTTCTTAAGATCATGACTGTGAGAAGGGAGTTGTAGTTTGATTTCTTATTTGCTCTTATTGTTACTTCTTCTTATTATTATTACAGCCCTCTTTTACTTCTCATCAGCAACAAGTGGTAAATCCATAGCCTGTAATTGGTGTTTCTATTAAATCTGGATTGTCTTTTATGTTCTGTAGTCTGCAGTTCAGGGATCCTTTGTATTGCACGGCTTTAACTTGCCATAGGGGATTGCAGCAACGAGGGTGATGTGGTACTTGATATTGTGGTGAAATAGACATTATGTGGTTAGACTGATGAAAAGGGTAATTCATTATTTATCTGCCTTTGTATGTTATCAAATAGAATGTTAATTTACTTTATAAATATTAGATATATCCGTCTGTGTAATCGTCCTCTATAAACACAAACAACAGAAAATAGTTAGATTGAATTAAAAGTAGCTATGTATTGGAAATGCTTTGTCTGTTGTAGAAAAGGAAAATCAGAACAGTCTCATTATAATTAGCTGCATACCAACTTTCTTATGTACACTTAAAAAATACCTTCAAAATACACCTATTAGTTAGAAGAGTAAAACTGAATTCTTCGTATCTCTTCATCTAAGTTGGAAATATTGCTTTCTGTTACTTCTAATTCTTTTTTATGAGAATATCATCTTTAAGTAAATGTAACTACCATCAGATCGAGGCGCTTAGCAATAATGTATTCTAAGGGTAAAGGATTAAACAGAATATTGATTATTGCCCTAAGATTGTTCGTTCTTAAGTACTTGGAATAATATGAATTCCTTTGATCATAATTTTAGTAAGATTTCTTCAGAGATCAAAGCATCAAAGAGTTGCTAAATATCTAAGGCTTTCACATATATCATCAAACACATGTAGTTGTTTTTTTTCTTCTTGAGTTTTTTTTTCAGTTGTGGTATTAACACACAAATAAAAACTGGCACTGAAAAGCCAATTAAATCTGGATTTTAAAGAGCCATTAGCGTGTGTAGGCTGTGTAGGAGAAGAGTGATACAGAATCCTGGTATTCTTTTTATGAGCCATAGGTGTGTTGGAATCTAAGCAGTGAAACAGTGACAAAATAACATCTTTGTATTCCCCTAAGTATTTGAGATTAGCAACAGAATTTTAAGCAACACTTGCATATCTCATATGCAGAAAAGAAGCAGAGAACAAAGCAACACACAGAATATCCATCAGAGCTGATTTAGTGTGTCTAGGTCCCACTCATCTTCCTCCACTTAACTAATATTGCTAAACTGCACAGAAAAAAAATGTACTCTTGGTAAGAGGCAGCTGTGCTGAGACTGAAACACCAATAGCATTTCCTAGCTATGAAACCAAGCTCTAGCCTTGTAGCATCTCTGTAACAGAGGGCCTGGGCCTGTCCGCCCTCTGTCTCTGACTTGTCACAGTATACATTTTTGAAAATTGGGATAATCATCTGCTGGGTTGATTTGGCATACTGTTATCTACAGTGGCATACTGTTAGCTACAGCCACGTTCCAACCAACAGCATTTATTTTTCCCCAGGTTGCACCTTAGCTCAGCACTTCCACAGCTTTTCTAGAGCAAGTGGAATTGCTGCTGCCTCAGCGAGCCTTCGTGTGCCTGTGACTGGAAGCAGCCCAGCCCTTCCAGCACGGAGCAGGCTGAGTCTAGCACCTTACACATCATCTGTATGCTAGTCTTCTCCATTTCATAGAAACACAGAATCACAAGGTTGGAAACGACCTGCAAGGTCATCTAGTCCAACCCCCCTCCCATTCCTATTAGTACCACAAGCTACTAAACAATATCTCGTAGCTCCTCATCCAGGCACCTCTTGAACTCTGCCAGGGACGGCGACTCCACCTCCCTGGGCAGCCATTCCAGTGCCTGACAACCCTCTGAGAGAAAAAGTTTCTCCTAATTTCTGGCTTGCATTTGAGCGAAATGCCAATTCATTGGAGATTGTGGTAGTTTCTCACTCTTTTCATCTTGGAGTTAAATCCTCACTATGTATCTTTTTTTAAACAAAATGATTATGCAAATAGCAGGCTATTTGATAACACTTTGTGAAACCGAAAGAAATTCAGAAATTACTGTCATTTGTGCCCTTGTCAGATAAAGTATTTGAAGGGTTTATTGTAGCTGTTGATTCATATACCAATGGAATTACTGAGTTACAATTTACTATAGGTAAAAATTACTGTAATGCAGAAACAGATCAAGTGAAGTCCCAGTTGATTTTGAAGAACTAGCAGTCAACAGTGGTATCTTTTCCATCCCCCTTTTTGATGAATAGAGCAGATGTGAACTGCAACTGATAATAAATATGAAATCCCACGTTGTACCTTTTTTGAGGGCTACTTCATGCCACATAATTGTACTTTAATATGTCTTAGTGTTTTTCTTCAGTGTAATGCTTTTCATGGTTCAAACACAAGAGCTTAGGGAGCTAAGGCTAACAATCCAAAAGTAACAATTGTATTTAAAGCAATTAATATGCTAGGGGAAAGGGGAAAAGCTTTGACTGTACCTTGCCTAGCAGGGTTGCACAGGCATTCTCAAAGAACAGTAAAGTGATAAGTAACATACAAGTTTAACTTCTTTGTCTAAAATCTTGACAGATTTTAAGAATACAGTGCGTTTTGCTATTGTCATTTGGAGCTGGATGCTTACGGCATGGCTGTAAATCAGGAAGACAGTGCAGAATCTCAGTGCTTAAAGTGAGAGTGATACTGAAGCAGAACTTGCTGGCTTCAGCCCTATGTATTGTTTTCTTCCCCAGTGAAACCACATGGATCTGCCAGGTGGCCTAAGGAAAACCTGTGCCTTGCAGCAAAGGAAAGGAAAGATAGAATTATCAAAACTCCAAATGGAAATGTTTAAAGTCCTTGTAAAAAGTGAGAGAACAAATTGACTGTTTATTTCCCGCTTTGCTCCTGTCTTCAGATGAGCTATCATCTCACATTACTTCATCAGTTATATAGTTTGTCAACCAGTTGTTATTTTTTTCAAAATGTTCATGCTTATTGGATTCATGGGCCGTTTTTCTTCTCTTCTGCTAAAAATCAGACATCTCTTTGCTTCCAGATATAAATGCCGAATGCCCAGCTCTGAGATAAGTTACGGCCTTTTTTGTAATTCATATGCAATGAAACAACTCATGCCAATGCTTGAAAGTATCCAGCTTATTCAAAGACTGAGTATAATCTTTCTCTCTCTGGTCTTCTGTGTGGTTTTTCATTTCTTAGCAAATACATATGTACACATGTAACGTATGCTGTATAAAAATATCAAATATATTTCGTCATATGTTTCAGATATCGTCATGTCTCAGATTAAAGCAACAAAAGATACATCGGTTCTGGCAGCCTGGGAAGTTTAAACAAAAATCAGAAGCAGTTTAATGTTCTTTCTTCTTAAATAATTGACAGATTTCTATCAGATGTAGTTCTTAGCAAATTCTTTTAAGCTTTTCAGTGATGTTACATTTTCCCATTGACTTGTCAATCAAAGCTGAGACAAAGCACTGGCTGTCTGTTGGGGGGTTCCTTTGTTACCAGGAAAGGTCGAAATCAGTGACAGCCCTCTTTGCAAAGCAGTGTAGCATACAGCAGTGCACTGGGATATAGTGGTATGTGGAAGGCTGCATGGCAGTGGAGATGCTTCTCTAGGAAGCATTGCTTGCAGTGATGGCTGTAGATCCCAGGCAATTAAGAAGAAATGTATTGAAATAGTGGGCTGGGGCATCTGAAGTCTGTCAAAATCCTCTGCTGGCTGGAGATCTCTGCTAACTGCTGCTATGAAACTAGAAGTGTGTGCCCCTTCCTCATTTCTGACCATTTCATGTCCGTGGTGGTGCTGGGTAGCAGGGATGAGCTGGGGGCTGCAGGCAGCTCAGCAGGCTCCTGCTGGAAACGATACAGATGTGGCTGTGAAGGGAGAAAAATTTAGACAGATCCTCTTTCCTGTGAGCCCTGAGAGCCCAGTTCAGCCTTGAGCCCATTAGTCTGCAGCTGGAAGCTCCCAGTGCAAGGTGCGGGAGCTGCAGTCCTGAGGACGTGCAGGAGTG